AAAAAAAAAAAAAAAGAAATGTAACCATCTCACGAATTATTACTGTCAGGTGTTACTGGGGTGCTACATGTGCTGTTGAATGCCACGCTAATGTGTGACAGTCCTGCCCAGGGCCCGCTGCCCTACTCTGGAAGGCTGAGGCAGGAGGATCACCAGTTAAAGCCCGGCCTGGGTAATTTAATGACATAGCAGACCCTGTCTCAAAATAAAAAGGACTGGGGATGCAGCTCAGTGTGAAGGTCCTGGGTTCAGTTCCCAGTACAGCCGGGGTGGTGGGGGGACCAGTTCTATCTATGAAAGTGGTCTCTCTCAAAATTTGCATCCTGTTCTCACAGAGAGAACACAATGGACCCACGAGGAGATGGAAGCAAGGTGAGGACATTGGTACGGTGACTCTGTGTGAAGTCCCCCCGGAAGGGTCAGCCCGACAGCCTCATGCTCTCTTTCTGGCACTGGGGGTTGCGCTCAGAGCCATCCACTGTTTGCATCCCAGCTTTTTTATATTTGTGAGCACAGCCTCCTGCTAAATCCATAAATTGTCCAGGCTGGGCTCAAACTTGCAATTCTCCTGCCTCAGCCTCTTGGAGTGCTGGGATTACAGACCTGTGAGCCACTGGCTCTAGTTCTCTTTTTTTTTTTTTTTTTTTTGGTACTGGGAATCGAATTCATGACCTCAGCCTTTGCAGGCAAGCCCTTAATGCCGCTGAGCTATATTCCCAGCCCTCTAGTTCTTTTTTTAATGAGAAGTTAAGATAATCACAGGATCCAAGTCAGTATTTCCCACTGACCACAGCCAAGTTGCAAGGGGCACCTTCAACCCAAAGCTCCTGGTGGGGGAGCCTGGCATCCCCCGCCCCCCTGGGCTGCTGGGGTCTGGAAAGGACAGCGCGTCCAGACTCGCCCTCCTGTCCCCTTGGGGGGGGGGTCGCGGGAGCCCCTCCCCCAGGGCAGCCATCCAGCCCGGCTGAGCTGGGGTGAGCCTGAGCCCAGATTAGCCGACGGGAAGCGGAGATCTGGCGCTGCAGGGGAGGATCGGACAGAGGCAGCGCCATGCCGCTGCAGGACGAGACCCTGCGGGAGGTGTGGGCCTCGGACAGGTCTGGACCCCCGGCCCTGCGCGCTCGGGACCCGGGGTCCCGGGGGAGGGGCGGGGCGGGACAGTGCGGCGAGACAGCCTGGTCCTGTGCTCCCCCGCAGCGGGCATGAGGAGGGCGGCCTGAGCCCGGAGGTCCGGCGGCGCCCCAAGCAGGTAGGGCACCGGCTCCGGCCCCGGCTCCGAGGGGGACCAAGAGGTCCCGAAGCGGGTGGGAGGCTGAGGCGGGCAGGCCTCCGTCAGCGCCAGCGGCGTCTGCAGTTCAAGCGTGGAGGAGTTTTGGGGGGTGCAAGAAAGGATATTTCAAGGCGTGGGGCGCGGGGGAGGGCGTCTTTGGAGCTTGGAAGTGGCCGCGGTGCGGGAAGGGGTCCTCCTGCCTCAGCCTCCAGATAATCCGCGGCTATTTCTGGCGGCTCAAGGGATTAGGGGGTGCTGGGCCGCCCTCGGAGCCCCCTTTCCTCTCCCCTCCCGCCCCTCGTGCCCCCCACACGCGCAGAAGCTGAGGAAGAAGAAGACAGAGACCCCCGGGTCCCCGGGCGCCGCGGGACCCAAGCCGCGCAGACCCGGAGGTGGGCGGGGTCCGGGCGAGGGGC